TTCACTGATTTTTTCATATCATTCTCTTAGTCTCCATTGCATTGCTTTCTGCTCTGATCTAATTTCCTCTCTTGTACAAGCTTTGGGTTTGTTATGCTCTTCTTTTTCCAGGAGCTTGAGGTTCTCCATTAGGTTATCTGAGTTCTCTCTGTTTTCCTAATATGAGCATTAACTGCTATGAATTTCCTGTGTAGAACTGCTTTCATTGTGTCCCACAGATTCCTGTATGTTATAGTGGCATTATCATTTACTTGTTGAGACTGTCTAATTTCTTTAATTTCCTCTGTGACCCTTCAGTTGTTCAGGAGGGTGTTATTCAATTTCCATGTTTTTATGGGAGTTTTGAGGTTTACGTCATTGATCTCCAATTTTATTGCACTATGGTCTGATAATATACAGGTGGTAACTTCAATTCTTTTACATTTACTTAGACATGTCCTATGAACTAGCATGTGGTCTATTTTGGAGAATGACCCATGTGCAGCTGAAAGGAATGTATATTCTGATTTTGTGGGGTGGAACACTCTGTAAACAAATGTATTCATTTCTAATGTTGTGAGATTCCTGTTAGTACATGCATGAGAAGCTATTTTCGTATCATAAAAATATTGATTATTAACATTAAATTTGTTAATCATTAACCAATGTAATATTCTAAAATTTGAGGTAAATCTTAGGAGAGAGACATGGAAATCACAGGGTTGGGGGGGAGGTGTGACAAATAGGACTAAAAGTCACACAACATGCTATATGAAATTTCATAAATTTCATCCAGGAACTTGAAGTACTGGTAAAGCTCGTCAGAAGGGAAAGAAGGAAGAAATTCTATATAAAGGAGATTAGCATATTATTGTAATAACTGGCCTTCCTATTATTTCTTCATTTAGTAGTGTTGCTGCTGACACTTCTGTTCGGTCTTAGTACTTGCAAGGATTTCAGTGAATGAGATTGTCATTGGACAGTTTGTTTTAGACATACTCATTTCGTGGCAAGGGTGGGCATAGTTTTGTGTTAGTTTATATTCGTTCTCATAAAATTTTGCAAATCTTTTCAAAAGGAGTGGTCTGTATAAGTTTCCATCAACAAAATCATGGCTCTTTTAAATCTTGCTGATTCGGGCATTATCACCATGCAAAGCTTCTTGCTTCCTGTGTAGACACAAATGTACATAATATTCAGCACTGGTGGTTCTGTTTGGGGTGTTTGGACATATTTACATTTGTGCTTAGGAAAGCGTCTTTCTGATCTGTGACAACAAACTGTGAATCCCACTAGGAAACAGGTCTTCAGAATATTGGCAAGGTTCTCATGTTCACTGGAATCTCTATTTAAATATCTTTGGGGTCTGTCTGTGAAACACATATGTTCTTATTAATTGATTACACATTAATAAAAATGATAACAAGTTGACAGTTGTAATGCTTTTCAATGGAAGTGCTAGTATGATATAATAGGCTTGGGTAAACTTCTGTTCTGTTGGATTCTACTTATCTGACAATGAAGAACTACAGTTTAGAGTTTACTTTAAAATGAGATAATTTCATGATGGTCTAGTTAAACTGGCTACAAAATTTAATTACATTGATTTTACATCACTCCTCATCTCACACCCCTCTTTGACAGATCTTTCAGGTCCCTTTCTGAAGAAAAGGATCCATTTAACCAGAAACTCCTTGCAATGCCCCTAGTAGGCTAATAAGAGTGAAGATAGCAAAGCAGGAAACTTAGAGCCATTGGGAACAGTAGTTAGTATTCATTCCTCAGGTTGAAAAATAGAATAATCAAATTGTAATGATATCCATGCTTATATTTCTTTCTTTTTAGTACTTCCAATAACCTATTTTCTTTTAAGGGCATTAATCTATAGTCTTTTAAGAAGAATTATTCTAGATCAACCTAAGAGCTGAAAGAGAAAGGAGTCTTCGTGCAGGATTCTAGTGGTGGAAGTAGAAATCTGCCTACTCCATGCCCGAAGCAGTTCATCACCAGAGAAGTAAGCAACTGTTCTCATCTCATTTTAAATGCATGGCAGAAGGTCCCGGTTGCACATTCTTCACTGCTTGGCAATCCTGTTCCAGTTACCTGTGTAGCCATTTTACTAATATCAGTATTTTGCCCCTTCTCTTCTCTTCTCTTGGTAAGTTTCTTAAAAAACCTTTATTCATTCTTCTCACAATTTGAAAACAAAAGTACTCAGACATGAAAATTTCCTCTTCCTACTAGTAGTAAATCTACTGACCCACTTGGATGTCAGCCCAGGCTTGCTCCAGTCCTTTTTATCCCTGATGGTATTTAAGGTGAACTCTTCTGCCACTGATCCTGTTTCTTGCTCTCTCAAGGACTTTGCTTCTGCAAATCTTTATTCTCCATCCCAGTTTTTCTCCTTCTAGGGGAATTTTGATCCGCATATGAGTATGCTCTAACAGTTCCTATCCAAACAAAGACAGGCCCAACATACATCTTCCTCAAGTGGCTGCACTATTTCTGATGATTTTTATAGTCTTAGTTATTGCTCTTTCCTACCCCACCCGTTCTCCTTGAGCATGTGCGACTCTAACAGTCACAGCTTCATCCTATTTTACTGTAGTGCTTAGCAGCAATCAACAGTGTATCAGCCTCTCCTTTTTAAAGCAGTATCTCCTTTTGATAGCTGTATCAGCTATGGCTTCATAACATCTCCCTAAAACTCAAGGGCTCACAATAGCAATTTATTATTTCTTGAGTTTATGGATCTTCTGTGTAGGTAACACAGTTCCCTCCTTGTTCATTCATGTTTTTTGGTCGGCTGTAGGTAATGTGGCTTTCTGCCCTAGGTTGGGCTCTGTTGTGTGGGGGTGTGGCTAGTTCTAGGATGGCCTCAGTTGGAACATTCCAAACTAGCAGTTTTGCATGCTCTGGGCAATACTAGCCTATTTTCTCTGCCCATCTAGAAATGAATGGAGATGATGCATTGATGGCAATTCTTGGTTAAATGTATCTGTATGGTTTTATTTTCAGGAAATGAGTAAGAACTTAATGGAATTAATTTCCAGTTTGTAGTTTGATTGTATGAAAGATCAAAACAAAGAGAAAGGAATTAAAAGCTTTATAGGATAAGTACATGTACAAAAAAAGGTGAACTTTTAGTGTGACTGAGAAAGCTCTCAGATAAATGAGTTGTCTGTGGAACACATGAAACCTTTTCATATGTAAATAAAGTAAAACTTGGCAGCTTTACCATCTGTGAGATGTGAGAGTTCTGGGAAAATGACGCATTCAGTTACGCCAAGATGTGAAACTATATCTGAGTGTAAAAAATATGTGAGCTACAGAGAGTCCAGGGTACTGGGGACAGCCAGAGCTCTTCACAATAGGGAATGTAGAATAGATAACGAGGTCATTGAAAAATTTAAAAATACAGTAGTGAATAAAAAAGTTTTCATTAGTGAATACTGCTCTTTGAAATTGGTTCGATTTAGTATGTAGAATTAAAATTTTAAAATACCCTTAAAGATTGTTTAGTTCAACACCATTTTGCAGATTAAAACACTGAGAAGAATTAGAGCTCCAGGAGGGACCAGGTGTGCAGTCTCATTTCTTCTCTGTGTGGCTCCACTTTATTTCTGAGAAAAAGTAATACACCAACTTTAATGTGTTTCTAAACTGTTTAGAGCCTAAAAAATAATCCCCTGTCCTGTACATACTCAGGAACTTACTTTGGGTATTCCAGACAATATATTTTAACTTTCACACCCAGAAAATATACATTTTAGTTTTCATGAAATAAGATAAACTAAATCTTTAGTTGCTGTAAGGGAAGTCACAGGGTTGTGATTTTCATACAACTTTTTAAATGGGCAATTGTACCGACTGTATATATCTCAGGTCTGTAGGACAGAGTAATTGAGTTCTCCAAATCTGTGTTACAGTTGGAAATCTTCCGGGACCTGTCCATTTTGGGGAGACAACTTTGATGCCTCCTCTCCTCAGAATGAGAGGAAGTTTTCTTAAGAATATTTGATACCCTTTCTGTTCATTACTGAGAAATCAGGGTGTCTTTTTTAGTAATGGAGAAATCTACCACCAAAATGTGTGAATTAACATCATAAGTTTTAAAAATAACAAATGGAATTGCAATTTTCTTCCGTTCATCTAATGTGAATATAAAATTAACTATCTTGAGATATTAAATTTTGTGGCAAAATGGTAATTAAAATTTATTAAATAACTTGTTTGGACTGGAATTTAAATTTCTCTGCACATATTTGAAAATCAAAGACTTTTTGTATTCACGATTCTTAGTGATGTACATAAGAAACTTTAAAGGAAGATGCTGGTGAGAAGTGGACATTGGAGTCGCTGTCTGGTTAAAGCCCTATACTGCCCCTGTTCCCTAAGCAATTCTAGGCAAGTTCCTCAGGCTTTGCATTTTGTGCAGGGGGATGCTATTTCTGCTTCTACAGTAGGTCTGAGATGACTCATATATTTAATAACAAAGTACTGAAGAATTTATCTTATTTCCAAGAAAATGAGCTGATGGTATACAAACTCATGCCCGCGAACTCACTTCTTTATACAAACAAAAATAAACCATGCCATCAATGCTCTCAGCTTCTTTTAAAACATACTCGAAAAAAAAAAATCTCTTGTTAGTTGAAGTAGTACATAGAATAGTTACGGGACCCATTTCTCTTAAGATGATTTATATAACTCATTATTTCTGTCTCTTCTCTGTATGGGTATTTTGAGAATTTTAGAATTTAGTTTTTTGAACCAGCAATGACATCTTAGTTTCCTCATTGATTAAAGACAAATAAAATCCTTGACATGTTCATTTTAGATGAGTCGTAATTATATTCCTTTTCAAAATTATCTTTCACCAACCACACCTAAGAGCATATTTTAAAATTGAAGAAATGAGGAAAAAAACCTAAAATGGCTACCACAATTATTTTACTTTCATGTGTCAAAAAATATATTATGCAATCTTGACTTTCTCCAAATTAGATGAAAGTCGTAACTGTTATCAGGAATGATAAAGCAACAGTTTTATTTATGTTTAATTCAATGCCTACATGCGAATTATGTCACATTGAAATTTGTATATATTCAAACAATAAGATTAACGTTTCAGTTAATATAAACACAAAGCTACAAGCAAGCAGGAGGCACCCACACTTCATTTTTTGCACAGTGTGGTGTACATTTAATTGGTGACTCTGTAGTTAACGTGGATTTCCGGTTTCATGTCACACACCATGCTCAAAAGCTGTACAGTCACACTTTCCATACACTGGTTGTAGCTTCTGTTCAGCTCTTGTATCTTCTGTCGTGTTTGTTCTTCTACTTCATCTGAGACGTTGCTCTGAGAGCCCATTATCTACCAAAACAAAGGATGGAATTCATTATAACATACATCATATTAACATTTCTTGTTCTATAAACTTCAGCTTCCTGGTTCAGGGTTGCTCCATGTTGCACACATTATTCTTCCAGAACCTTCTACCAAGACCTGGGAATAACAAGTTATTTCCTCCTCCCTCCTCCTCATTGCCCCCCCCCCCTTCTTCCTCCTCCTCGGACTGCAGAGTGAATCCAGAGCCTCCTCCATGGGAGGCAAACACTGAGCTACCTCACCTCCTCAGTCCTTTTACTTCATTCCATTTTGAGGCAGAGTCTCACTGAGCTTAGCCTTAAATTTGTGATCCTCCTGCCTCAGCCTTCCAACTCTCTGGGGTTACCGTCAGGTACCACCATGTCTGGCCCAGTTTATTTTCATTTCTAACTGAGGTCCACATGGTATAAATTTCATACCAGTTTACAATCATTATCCATGCTCAGAAGTTTCATTCCTCACATTTTTCATGTATTTATAACACTTTCTATTCTATCTTTCCTTTTGTTTATTTCCTGAATTATAAGTCTGGAAAATAAAGTTGAAAGACATCATCAATCCCACTTTTCAGGTTTTTTTTTTAAAGCAAATAACTTTTTTCTGCTATTAAAATGTATCGTGTGGAGATTCCACTTCACTCCACAAAGAGCGGCTGCTATCAAGAAATCAACCAATAACAAATGCTGGCGGGGGTGTGGAGAGAAAGGAACCCTTCTCGATTGCTAGTGGGAGTGTAGACTGGTGCAACCACTGTGGAAATCAGTATGGAGATACCTCAAAGAA